CGGGGAAATCAGGAGGCATGTTGTAAGTACTCTCAAGACAGGTCTTGCAGAGTCCCATGTGGGGAGGAGGTGGGCACTTCTGCCAACAACTAACTCTATCCTGCCAGACACTACAAGCCCTTAGCATCAAATTCTTACCTACATCAGAAAATTACTGCTCTGAATAAACCAACCAAAACCACAGGAAAGGCTCCCTACTCAAGATGACTCAGCTAAGCTGATTCTGAATTCTGAATCCACAGAAATTGTGAGAACACTATCTAATATTATTTTAATCCACTGTATTTTAGAGGAATTTGTTATGCAGCAATAGGTAACTAATACATTGGGGTAGAGTACAAGTATACAGATGAAGTAGAGGACATGCTGTCCGAGCTATGAGTAAAGAAAGTTGATGACTAGTACCTTCCAACAAAATCATCTGAGAGCGGGGAGGAGGACAGAAAAATGAGAATAGCATGGATAGAAGCTTTCTATTTCTTTAAAGTAGTCTTACTACGTAGCCCAGGACTCAAATGCCCATGGATCTTTTTGCCCCAGTCTCTTGAATACTAACACTATAAACATGTAACAACCCCTGGCTGAGAATACTAATAAAGGGCTGAAACAGATCAGGGGCAGTGGCACATGTTTTTTTTTTTTCTTCTTTCCCGAGACAGGGTCTTACTATGTAACTCTTGGCTGTCCTGGAACTCACTATGTATAATAGTGGTATAGGAGGGTCTTTTGATAGGCCAGCCCTTAGGTGGGGGGTAGTAGACAGAACAGAATTCTGGGAGGAAGAAGGAAGTGTGGCAGATTCCATGGCTCTACTCTCCGAGATGGACGCTGGTTAGACTCATGCCTGTAAGCCACAGTCAAGTGGCAATGCACATTAATGAAAATGGGTTAAGTAAGATGTGAGAGTTAGCCAAGAAGAGGCTAGATATAATGGGTCAGGCAGTGTTTAAATGAATTCAGTTTCCATGTAATTATTTCGGGTAAAGCTAGCCGGAGGCCCGCCGCTTCTCTTTACAACAGAGTGGTGCCAACATGGCCAATTAAATCCACTTAAATGCTCACCTGAATCATCAATGGGTCAAGGAAGAAATAAAGGGAGAAATGAAAGACTTTCTAAAACTCAATGAAAATGACCACACAACCTACCAAAATTTATGGGACACAATGAAAGCCGTGTTAAGAGGCAAGTTCATAGCACTAAATGCCTACATAAAGAAAAAGGAAAAATTCCACACTAGTGAATTAACAGAACATCTGAAAACTTTAGAACAAAAAGAAGCAAACTTACCTAAGAGAACTTGAGGACAACAAATAGAGAGCTGAAATCAACAAAATAGAAACAAAGAAAACATTACAAAGAATCAATGAGACAAAGAGTTGGTTCTTCGAGGAAATCAACAAAATAGACAAACCTTTATTCAAACTAACCAAAAGCAGAGAGAGAATATCCAAATTAACAAACTTAGATATGAAAAGGAAGACATAACAACAGACATGGAGGAAACACAGAGGATCATGAGATCATATTTTGAAAACCTGTACTCCACAAAATTGGAAAACTTGAAGGAAATGGACAACTTTCTGAATAAATATCACTTACCAAAATTAAATCAAGACCAGATAAGCAAATTAAACAGATCTATAACTGCTGAAGAAATAGAAACAGTCATCAAAAGTCTCCCAACCAAAAAAAGCCCAGGACATGATGGTTTCAGCTCAGAATTCTACAAGACTTTCAAAGAACTAATACTAATACTCCTCAAATCATTCCACACAATAGAAACAGAGGGAACATTGCCAAACTCTTTTTTATGAGGCTACAATTACCCTGATACCCAAACCACAGAAAGACATTACTAAGAAAAAGAGAATTACAGACCAATCTCACTCATGAATATTGATGCAAAATAAAATACTAGCATATCCAATCCAAGAACACATCAGAACCATCACCCACCATGACCAAGTCAGCTTTATCCCACATATGCATGGATGGTTGAATATACGAAATCTGTCAAGGTAATCCACCATATAAACAAGCTGCAAAATAAAAACCACATGATCATCTCATTAGATGCCGAAAAAGCTTTTGACAAAATACAACAACTTTTCATGATAAAGGTTTTGGAGAGAGCAGGGATTCAAGGAACATACCTAATCATAATTAAGGCAATATGCAGCTAGCCAACAGCCAACATCAAACTAAATAGAGAGAAACACCCAGTGATTCCACTGAAATCAGGAACAAGGCAAGGTTGTTCACTCTTTCCATACCTATTCGATATAGTTCTTGAGGTCCTAGCTAGAGCAATAAGACACCAAAGGGAGATCAAGGGGATAAAACTGAAAAAGAAGAAGTCAAACTCTCACCGTTTGCTAATGATATGATAGTTTACGTAAGTGATCCCAAAAATTCTACCAAGGAACTTCTACAACTCATAAACACTTTCAGCAATGTAGCAGGATACAAGATTAACTCAAAAAAATCAGTAGCCCTCCTGTATACAGATGATAAAAGGGCTGGGGAAGAAATCAGAGAATCAGCATCCTTCATAATAGCCACAAATAGCATAAAATATCTTGGAGTAACTCTAACCAAACTTGTGGAAGACTTGTATGACGAGAATGTTAAATTTTTGAAGAAAGAAATTGAAGAAGACACCAGAAAGTGGAAAGACCTCCCATGCTCTTGGGCAGGCAGAATTAATATAGTAAAAATGGCAATCTTACCGAAAGCAATCTACAGATTCAACGCAATGCCCATCAAAATCCCAGAAAAATTCTTCACAGACCTCGAACTTCATTTGGAAAAGCAAAAAACCCAGGATAGCCAAAACAATCCTGGGCAATAAAAGAACTTCTGGATGCATCACAACCCCTGAATTCAAACTCTACTGCAGAGCTACAGTACTGAAAACAGCCTGGTATTGGCATAAGAACAGACAGGAGGACCAATGGAACTGAATAGAAGACCCGGATATCAGTCCACACATCTTCAAACACCTGATCTTTGATAAAGAAGCAAAAAATATCAAGTGGAAAAAAGAAAGCATATTTAACAAGTAGTGCTGGCATAACTGAATATCAACATGTAGAAGAATGAAAATAGACCCATATCTATCACCATGCACAAAACTCAAGTCCAGATGGATCAAAGACCTCAACATAAAGCCAGCCACACTGAACCTTTAGAAGAGAAAGTGGGAAGTACACTTGAATACATTGGCACAGGGAACCATTTCCTAAATATAACCCCAGCAGCACAGACACTGAGAGAAACAATTAATAATTGGGACCTCCTGAAACTGAAAAGCTTCTGTAAAGCAAAGGACACGGTCAACAAGACAAAAATGACAGCCTACAGAATGGGAAAAGATCTTCACTAACCCCACACCAGACAGAGGTCTGATCTCCAAAATATACAAAGAACTCAAGAAATTGGACACCAGAAGATCACATAATCCAATAAGAAAAATGGAGTACAGACCTAAACAGAGAACTCTCAACAGAGGAATCTAAAATGGCTGAAAGACACTTAAGGAAATGTTCAACATCCTTAGTCATCAGAGAAATGCAAATCAAAACAACTCTGAGATTCCATCTAACACCTGTAAGAATGGCCAAGATCAAAAACACTGATGACAACTTATGCTGGAGAGGTCGTGGGGGAAAGGGAACACTTCTGCATTGATGGTGGTATTGCAAGCTGGTACAACCCCTTTTTGGATGTCAGTGTGGCGGTTTCTCAGAAAATTAGGAAACAACCTTCCTCAAGACCCAGTAATACCACTTTTGGGTATATATCCAAAGGATGCTCAATCGTGCCACAAGCACATGTGCTCACCTATGTTCACAGCAGCTTTGTTCGTCATAGCCAGAACCTGAAAACAACCAAAGCTGGTCTGGAAGGGCCAGGGCTGCAGTTCAGTGACAGTTTATATGTCTAGAACATGTGAACTCCTGTGGTCAATCCTCATCACAGGAACAAAAGAAAACAAAAAAACCCCAAATTCCTACAAAAACTGCTCTAGAGCCAAACATGGTGGCTTATGTTTGTAATACCAACCTAGGGAGGCTAAGACAGGAGGACCGCCATGAGTTCCAGGCCAGCATGGGCTATAGAGTGAGACAGTCTTTTCTGTCTGTTTTGAGATGGGGAGAGTAGACGTGTAGCTCCTCCTTGCACAGTGCTTCCCTAGCATGTGTGTGGGCCTGGGTTTGATCCCCAGCCTCAAATCATGAAGGTCATTCTCATCTACACAGTGAGTTTTAAGCTAGCAGATTATTTGAGATCCTGTCCAAAAAAAAAAAAGGTGAAATACCACCAAAAATAAAAACAATAAAATGACAAAACAAAAGAAAAAACTCAGAAATAAAATGAGTTTAAAATGTCCTTTTAAGGGCCTATAAAGTGCTACGACAGTCAGAGCTTTGGGCAATCTAGAAATCTAAAATGCTTGGCACATATCCCAAGGCAGTGACCAGGATCTCTCACACATTTACACCGAATCAAATCTGACAGGTGCAAAGTCTATGCTTTCTCCAATTATCCATTTGTGCCAAGCCACAGCTGGCTTGATAGTACATTTTCTAGATAGAACACAGGGAGATTAAAAAACAACCAAAAACCTACCCCACGCTGGAAATATTCAAGCAGCAAGATATGTGAATGAAAATGGGAAGTTTTGCTATGCATGTATGCTCCATCTCAAAGATACTGGATGGGCAGATGTATTGTTCAGAGAAAGCCCAATTTTTTTAAATGCTTAAAATTCAATCCACATATGACAGAGAACACAAATGCAGAGACATTTTTCTAATCCAAGTTTTCTGACTGTGTTAGCTGGATCCTGTATGATAGTTTCAGATCATTATGTTCATTAAGTAGAATGAATAATTTTTTAAAAAAATTTGGGGCAGTAGGTGTTCAACCAAACTATCAAGTTGTCTGTCTATTTCAGCAATATGCTCTGGTATTAAATAATTGAAGAGTCAAAGTCTCAGTAGTTAAAAAAAATGTACTTGCCAGTTTGAAAGTCACAGACAGTTTACTGTTCTATAATCAGATAAAGAGAGAAAAGAAGAACCCTTAGGTCGCAGGAATAAGAAGAGTCTTCCACAGTCTGGCATCTGCAAGGAAATGAGAAAAAAGTTTTTACTTCCTTTCAATGACAGAAGTACCAACTACATCTGACAACAGTCCACACAACTGTAACCCCTCAAACTCTCTCAGATGGGCTCTTCCAGAGGTTCACTGTTGGTAATGACAAGTACCTGCTGATCCTTTCCTTTTTAGTACCTCTGCGTACATGGAAACATGCCGTTCAATTACATTCTTCAAGTCATTAGCACACATTTCTTGTGTCAACAGTTTCACAAGTGGGAATTGACTCTAGGCAACTGACTACTTTGAACAATTCTGAACAAATTCTAATTAACTTACATTGGTATTGTCCTTTTAAACACTCTACTACTCATTAATTCAATGGTATTGACATGTGTGTGTATGGAAACTTAAAAATTATATTCATTCAGGGCTGGAGAGAAGGCTCAGCAGTTAAGGGCATGTATTGCTCTTGTTCAGGACCCAGGTTCGATTTCCAACACTCACAAGATGGTTCACAACCATCTGTAACTTCAATTCTTGGGAATCTGATATCCTCTTCTGACCTTCATGGGCACCAAGCCTGCATGTGGTAGACATATATAGACACAGGCAAAGCATTCACAAAATAAAAATGAGTAAATCTAAAAATTTAAAAATGACTTTTTTATTTTGTGTATGTGTACTTGCACAGTGGTTAGAGGACAATTTTTGGGAAACGGTTCTTTCCTTCTACCACATGGGTTTAGGAATAGAGCTCAATTCCTTGGGCTGGGAAGCGAGTACCTTTGCCTGCTGGTCTCTCTCCACCTCTCCTTTTCTGAGAAGGGCTTCATGTGAACTAGGCTGTCCTTAAACTAAATAGCCAAGGCTGATCTCAACACTCTGGATTCTCTTGCCTTCATGTCCTCAGTGCTGGGATTATAGGTTTGTGTTATTATGGTCAGCTTTTCATACTTGGTCCTTAAGGGAAATCCATGTCTTCTACTTCGTTTGTTTCCTTCCACCAAAATCTTAAAAATTTTTCAATAGGTTTCATAAATAATGCTTCTTTTTTTATTAGGAGGATTAAGACAAAGTTGTATGTGTTTGTGCATACCTGTAATCCCAGCACCTATGGAGGTTGAATGAGGCAGGAGAACCTTGAGTTTGAGGTCAGCTTTGGCCTAAATAATCTAGATGCTGTCTTAAATAAAAAAGGAAGTTATGCAGAAAAAGAAATTCACAGTGTAAGAGTGTGTATTAGCATTATAAAGGTGAAGTAAAGAAGCCAAGTACTAGCAGGTACCACACGCCTCTAATTCTAGTACCCAGGAGACAGAGAAAGGTGGATCTCCATGAGTTGGAGGCCAGTCTGGTCTAGTTCCAGGACAGCTAGGATTACATAATAAAGAGACCTTGTCTTAAAGTGGGAGGGGTGAGTGGAAGGGAATATCTTGGCTTAATTTTAGGAGAAGCTTCTTCTAGCTTTTCATTATAGAACTACCTTTCTTATTTACTGATATCATGTACTGTATGATAATCAGATATCTTGTGCAACATATTAAAAGAGCCATTCAAAGTTCGCCAAACGGTTTGTTCAATGTATTCTTTCTGATAAGCCTAAGTATTGCTCTTTCTCTTCTGGGGCTCAAACCCATTTTTTTGGTTTCCAGATACATTTAACAATTTAAAGTCAGAACCTATCAAGCTGGGCAGTGGTGGCACACATCTTTAATCCTAACACTCAGGTGGCAGAGACAGGCAGATTTTTGAGACAGAGGTTAGCCTGGTCTACAAAGCAAATTCCAGGACAGCCAGGGTTAAACAGAGAAAGCCTGTTTTGGGGGTTGGAGATGTAGAACCTACCAAAAGTGGCCAATTCCTAGAAGATTTGATAAATATTATTGCTAATAACTAAAGAGTATTTTCCATTATTATTATTATTTTGGTTTTTTGAGACAGAGTTTCTGGTGTAGGAGGTCCATCTGTTTGTGTGTTGCTTTCATTGGTTAATTAATAGAGAAACAGCTTGGCCTAATAGGACAGCACTTAGGTAGGTGGAGAAGACAGAACTGAATGCTGGGAAGAAGGGCAGAGAGAGAGCTGCCATGGAGCTGCCATGTCAGACATGCTGAATCTTTCCCGGAAAACCACCTCATGGTATTATGCATATTATTAGAAATGTGTTAAATCAAGATGTGGGAGTTAGTCAATAAGAGGCTAGAGATAATGGGCCGGGCAGTAATTTAATTAATACAATTTCTGTGTGATTATTTTGGGTATAAGCTAGCCAGGCAGGACAGAACAAAGGGCCCACTCTCCCTGTAACAAGTTTCTCTGTCTAGCTTTGGAGCCTGTCCTGGAACTTGCTCTGTAGACCAGGCTGGCTTTGAATTCACAGAGATCCGCCTGCCTCTGCTTCCCAAGTACTGGGATTAAAGGTGTGCGCCACCACCGCCCAGCTTATTATTATTATCATCATTTTTTTTTAACACTTTAAAAAAAACTTTTTCTTTTTTGAGACAGGATCTCACTATGTAGCTCTGGCTTTCCTGGAATTTACAATGTAGACCAGGCTGTCCTTGAACCCACAGAGACCTGCCTGCCTCTGCCCCCCAAGTGCTGGGATTAAAGGTGTGTACCACCATACCTGGAGTTTATTAATTATTATTATTATTATTGATTTTTTGAGACAGGGTCTCTATGTAGCCTTGCCTGTCCTGGATCAGGCAGATCCTCTTGCCACTAACTCTCAGAGTGCTGTGTGATGCCTGGCTGGGTGTTCTATTTAGTTTTTCTAGTTTCTTATCAGAGGAAAATATTAGGTCTGGTACAGAATGAGCCCTTCCAGAGATTCATCTGCTTCAGTTTAGATGTGGCTGGACAGCAACAGAGCAATCCTTCATTCATTTGATCAATATGCACTGAAGGACTGCTATCTGCCAGCAGCTGAGACAGTCCTGTCACAGCCTTCCTGAAGTCCTTCTCCCATCAGCAGAAGGGCTGGACAACCACAGGCAAGGCAGCTAAACTCAGCTCTACCACCAGCACACAGAAGGGCCTCCAGGAAAGCTTTCAAACGGGAAAAATAAGGAATTTTGGTCTTATAAGATAAGAGATCTTATAAGGTCTTAAAAATAAGAGATTTTTGTGAAGTTCTGCACTTAAACTACTATACAATATCAGACAATATTAACAGTTCAAGACTCTTAAGAGGCCCAAAACTTTTAAATACTCATTAAAAAAGTATGATTTCTTTTAAAAATGAGAATTAAACAGTACTGCATAGAGAAGCAGCTGCAGAGCAGTGAAGCATGGTGGTTTGATTTATCTCGGTCTACTAAAGAGGCGGGATAGATCTAGAATACAACTCTGATATGAAAACAAGCAGTACTAACAGCAGGGAAAAGAACTTAGCATGGTGGGAGAATTTTAAGTGGTAAATGCCTAATCATTAGCCTGTAAAGCCATTATATTAGAGGCTATATATGTAAAACACACACACACACACACACAAAGCTTTAATTTAGCATCATAATCTGAGAGAAAATTGGACTCAAATTGTTTTATATCCAGTTAAGTCTCGCTACCATCTGAAGAGATGGTAGAATAAACAAATACTTACTTGAAAAAGATGTTCAGTTACTGTGCATTTCCATCTACAAGAATAAACATTTCAGAATAAATATGCCATGTCAACTGGAATCCACTCCATCCTCAGTGCTTACTAAACACAAATTACTTTTTTTTGTTCTCCAGATATGGTTTTGTGCAGTTCTGGCTATCCTAGAACTTGCTCTATAGACCAGGCTGGCCTTGAACTCTCAGATATACCTGCCTCTACAACCCAAGTGCTGGGATTAAAGACTTGGCATAAACACAAATTACTTGTTTTTAGAATATATGGGGGTAGGAATGCTAAAGCAGAATTCAAAATTAGTGATTGGATTCCATTGAGAATCCTAGGAAAAGAAAAGTCTTGTCAGGTGGTGGTGACACGCCTGCCTCTGCTTCCAGAGCAGGGATTAAAGGCATGCACCACCACACCCAGCTTTAATTTCTTGTTTATAGTCAGGGATACTATTGTGAACTCAGTGAAGTCCTTTGGACACAATTTTTTTTTACTGATATTTACTGAGCTCTACATTTTTCTCTGCTCCCTTTCCTGTCTCTCCTCTCCTCTCTTCAATCCTCACACAAGGTCCCCATGCTCCCAATTCACTCAAGAGATCTTGTCTTTTTATACTTTCTACCTCCCATGTAGATTATATCTATGTACATTTCCCTTAGTGTCCATATTGTTGTTTAAGTTCTCTGGGGATTGTAGGCTGGCTTTCTTTGCTTGATGTTTAAAAACCACCTGTGAGTGAGTACATGTGATAATTGTCTTTCTGTGTCTGGGTTACCTCACTCAAAATAATGTTTTCTAGCTTCATTGATTTTCCTGCAAAATTCAAGCTGTTGTTATTTTTTTCAGTTGTGGAGTACTCCACTGTGTAAATGTACCATTTTTCTGATCCATTCTTCAATCGAGGGGCATTTAGGTTGTTTCCAGGTTCTGGCTATGACGAACAAAGCTGCTGTGAACATAGGTGAGCACATGTGCTTGTGGCACGATTGAGCATCCTTTGGATATATACCCAAAAGTGGTATTACTGGGTCTTGAGGAAGGTTGTTTCCTAATTTTCTGAGAAACCGCCACACTGACATCCAAAAAGGGGTTGTACCAGCTTGCAATACCACCATCAATGCAGAAGTGTTCCCTTTCCCCCACGACCTCTCCAGCATAAGTTGTCATCAGTGTTTTTGATCTTGGCCATTCTTACAGGTGTTAGATGGAATCTCAGAGTTGTTTTGATTTGCATTTCTCTGATGACTAAGGATGTTGAACATTTCCTTAAGTGTCTTTCAGCCATTTTAGATTCCTCTGTTGAGAGTTCTCTGTTTAGGTCTGTACTCCATTTTTCTTATTGGATTATGTGATCTTCTGGTGTCCAATTTCTTGAGTTCTTTGTATATTTTGGAGATCAGACCTCTGTCTGGTGTGGGGTTAGTGAAGATCTTTTCCCATTCTGTAGGCTGTCATTTTTGTCTTGTTGACCGTGTCCTTTGCTTTACAGAAGCTTTTCAGTTTCAGGAGGTCCCAATTATTAATTGTTTCTCTCAGTGTCTGTGCTGCTGGGGTTATATTTAGGAAATGGTTCCCTGTGCCAATGTATTCAAGTGTACTTCCCACTTTCTCTTCTAAAGGTTCAGTGTGGCTGGCTTTATGTTGAGGTCTTTGATCCATCTGGACTTGAGTTTTGTGCATGGTGATAGATATGGGTCTATTTTCATTCTTCTACATGTTGATATTCAGTTATGCCAGCACTACTTGTTAAATATGCTTTCTTTTTTCCACTTGATATTTTTTGCTTCTTTATCAAAGATCAGGTGTTTGAAGATGTGTGGACTGATATCCGGGTCTTCTATTCAGTTCCATTGGTCCTCCTGTCTGTTCTTATGCCAATACCAGGCTGTTTTCAGTACTGTAGCTCTGCAGTAGAGTTTGAATTCAGGGGTTGTGATGCATCCAGAAGTTCTTTTATTGCCCAGGATTGTTTTGGCTATCCTGGGTTTTTTGCTTTTCCAAATGAAGTTCGAGGTCTGTGAAGAATTTTTCTGGGATTTTGATGGGCATTGCGTTGAATCTGTAGATTGCTTTCGGTAAGATTGCCATTTTTACTATATTAATTCTGCCTGCCCAAGAGCATGGGAGGTCTTTCCACTTTCTGGTGTCTTCTTCAATTTCTTTCTTCAAAAATTTAACATTCTCGTCATACAAGTCTTCCACAAGTTTGGTTAGAGTTACTCCAAGATATTTTATGCTATTTGTGGCTATTATGAAGGATGCTGATTCTCTGATTTCTTCCCCAGCCCTTTTATCATCTGTATACAGGAGGGCTACTGATTTTTTTTGAGTTAATCTTGTATCCTGCTACATTGCTGAAAGTGTTTATGAGTTGTAGAAGTTCCTTGGTAGAATTTTTGGGATCACTTACGTAAACTATCATATCATTAGCAAACGGTGAGAGTTTGACTTCTTCTTTTTCAGTTTGTATCCCCTTGATCTCCCTTTGGTGTCTTATTGCTCTAGCTAGGACCTCAAGAACTATATCGAATAGGTATGGAAAGAGTGAACAACCTTGCCTTGTTCCTGATTTCAGTGGAATCACTGGGTGTTTCTCTCCATTTAGTTTGATGTTGGCTGTTGGCTAGCTGCATATTGCCTTAATTATGATTAGGTATGTTCCTTGAATCCCTGCTCTCTCCAAAACCTTTATCATGAAAAGTTGTTGTATTTTGTCAAAAGCTTTTTCGGCATCTAATGAGATGATCATGTGGTTTTTATTTTGCAGCTTGTTTATATGGTGGATTACCTTGACAGATTTCGTATATTCAACCATCCATGCATATGTGGGATAAAGCTGACTTGGTCATGGTGGGTGATGGTTCTGATGTGTTCTTGGATTGGATATGCTAGTATTTTATTTTGCATCAATATTCATGAGTGAGATTGGTCTGTAATTCTCTTTTTCTTAGTAATGTCTTTCTGTGGTTTGGGTATCAGGGTAATTGTAGCCTCATAAAAAAGAGTTTGGCAATGTTCCCTCTGTTTCTATTGTGTGGAATGATTTGAGGAGTATTAGTATTAGTTCTTTGAAAGTCTTGTAGAATTCTGAGCTGAAACCATCATGTCCTGGGCTTTTTTTGGTTGGGAGACTTTTGATGACTGTTTCTATTTCTTCAGCAGTTATAGATCTGTTTAATTTGCTTATCTGGTCTTGATTTAATTTTGGTAAGTGATATTTATTCAGAAAGTTGTCCATTTCCTTCAAGTTTTCCAATTTTGTGGAGTACAGGTTTTCAAAATATGATCTCATGATCCTCTGTGTTTCCTCCATGTCTGTTGTTATGTCCTCCTTTTCATATTTGATTTTGTTAATTTGGATATTCTCTCTCTCTGCCTTTTGGTTAGTTTGGATAAAGATTTTCTGTTTTATTGATCTCAGCTCTCAATTTGATTATTTTTTGCCATCTAGTTCTCTTAGGTGATTTTGTTAATTAACTAGTGTGGGATTTTTCCAGCTTCTTTATGTAGCATTTAGTGTCATGAAGTTGCCTCTTAACACTGCTTTCATTGTGGACACAAAATTTACAGAGTCACACTTACTTTCAGCATTGGCTGAACATACCTAAGAAACCAAATCAATTATGTCTGTCACAATGAATAGTAAGAATACTTTGACCTTTACTTCACTTACTATTTTTCCATGGCAGAACATAGGGCAGAGACTTGGGAACTCGCATGCCTGAAGCCAGGTTACTCTTATGTTCCATAACTATATTGTTTGCAGGACTAAAAAAAGAAAGGAATAATGATGTCATCATATCAATATTTTTCAGACACACACACAAGACAATCAAAATGTGTGCACATGCGTGTGTTTTTGTTTGCTTTTTCTGAGACAGGGTTCCTCTGTGTAGCTTTGGTAACTGTCCTGGATGTTGCTGTACAGACTAGGATGACCTTGAACTCACAGAGATCTGCCTGCCTTTTCCTCCTGAGTACTGGGATTAAAGGTGTGTGCCCAACTTAAAAATGTGTTTTTATGTGGGGGAAAACATGTAAGCATAGTTCTTTCAAAACATTCTTACACTTTGGATGATTACCATTTCTCTGGGATGTTTCTTATTCCATATGTGCATTAAGATGAAGTTAACTGTTTAGTGGGGCACACCCTTAATCCCAGTACTCGGGAGGCAGAAGCAGGCAGATCTCTGAGTTAGAGGTCAGCCTGGTTTACAGACTGAGTTCCAGGACAGCCAGGACTACATAAAGAATACCTATCTTGAAAAGCAAAACAAAACAATAACAAAAGATGGAGTTAACTGTTTACATCTTATAAAAATTGAGATAAACACCTATAACACCTACTGGTTAGTACCCCTGCGAACAAGATAGCTGTGTCTAGTCATGGTTGGAACTTTCTAAAGACCAGGCTTCTATCAAATTCACAGTGATTTGTTGGCCTTTGCCTCCTGAGTATGAGTGCTAGGATGAAAGCTGTTCCCCAACATGCTTGGTTGCAACAGACCTCTTCATAAATTTTATGTGTATGGGTGTTTTCTACATATATGCCCATGCACCACTTGTGTGCCTAGTGCCTACAGAGGGCAGTAGAGGCTGTTGGATTCCCCTGGAGCTGGAGTTACAGAGAGCTGGGAGCCAGTATGTTGGTTATGGGAATTGAACCTCCTCTGTTGATGGAGGCTACTGGTTCATTCCCAGCTTCCCAGATTCAAATTAACCACACAGAAACTGTATTAATTAAGTCACTGTTTGGCCTATTGCTCTAGCTTCTTAGCTCTTACATCTTAAATTAATCCACTTCTATTAATCTGTATATCGCCATGTGGCTGTGGCTTACCAGTAAGGTTCTGGCAGGCTGTGTCAGAGGCGTCTGTCTCCTGCAGGCAGCTGCATGGCTTCTCTCTGCTCCACCTACTCTCTCTAGCTCTTTCAGCCTGGCTTTACTTTGTTAAGTCATTGGCCAAAAGCAGCTTCTTTATTAACCAATGGCAATAAAACATATTTACTGCATACATTAACTGCCATATCAATCCTCTGGAAAAGTAGTCAGCTCTCTTAACTACTGAGCCAACTCTCTAGCTCCTATAATAAATCTCTTAAGAAATGAAGTAAGTTACAGTTGCCACCAATAAAACTAGTCTAACTTTTTGTTATTGACTCAAAAAAGTATACATTTATTAACTGATCTCAGTAATAAAGAAATAAAAAAAATGAAGTGCTTTCTGAGGGCTGGAGAGATGGCTCAGCAGTTAACAGTATGCACTGCTCTTCCAGAGGACCTGAGTTTGATTCCAAGCATCCACATCAGGCAGCCAGGGGCTCTGACACCTCTGGCCTCTATGGGCACCTAAACTCATATACCACATATACATAATTAAAAACAATAAAAATAAAATAAAAAGTTAAGCATTTAGGGGAAAATAGAGTATAGAATTTATTCCTTTATTTTCTGAGCCATCTCTCCAGCCCCAAGATATGCCTTCTTTCTTAATCATTAGATACTTTGGATTTCCCAATCTCAAACAACTTTCAGGATTTCAAAAAATAGTTATGGACTAAGCAGAGATGGCTCAGTGGTTAAGAGCACTGACCGTTTGTTCTTCCAGAGGTCCTGAGTTCAATTCCCTGTATACAAACAGTGGTTCACAACCACCTATAATTCAATTTGATCCCCTCCTCTGGCATGCTGGAATATATGTATATGACAGAAGAGTTTATGTATACAACAGAGTACTCATATACATAAAATACATAAATAAATAAATCCTTAAAATATTTACATGTGTATGCGCATGTGTGTGGGTGCCTAGAAGAGGGTGTGGATTCCATGGAGCTGAGTTATAAGTAGTTGTACATTTGGCTAATGTGGGTGGGGGAACTACATTCTTTAAATGTAGTTTAAAGAGCAACAAGTCTTCTTAACCCCTAAAATCATCCCTTCAGTCTTTTAAAAAAACTCTTGGAAAAAATTCTATTTGTGTTGCTGTATGTAAATGCTTATGCACACCACAGCAAGCATGCAGATGTCGGGGGACAACTGTGTAAGTCTGTTTCCTTCTCTTACTATGTGGGTCTTGAAGATCAAATTCAGGTGTCAGTCATAGCCACAGATGCTTGTAGTCATTGAGCCACTCACTAGCCACAGGATTTGTTCCCTAACCCAGGCATCGGTTATCTAGGGTTAAAATAGTCTAAGTAGTTTATATAACTGGAGAACGTTTTTCAGTCTTAAAACAATGGAAGTCCAGTAAAAATATCAACAAAGAAGTCCCAAACAATTAAAATACAAAAACATCAGGCACTATTGTTTTTCTTATTAGACTATAGAGTAGTAGTAGTATTATGTTTCGAGCATAAAGTCCATGATTTTATGGATCAAAGAATAAGTACGGCTGAACAGTTAAGAGTACCTGCTGTTCTTGCAGGCACAGTAGCTTGTTTTCAGCGCCCATGTTGGGTGGATCACAACCAACCCTCTCTCCAGCTCCAGGGTAGTATCTGACCACCTCTTCTGGCCTTCAGAACACACACACACACACACACACACACACACACACACACACACACACA